CCCTATCATGCGGCGGCCAAGTCATAATGCACTACAGAGCTCACATTGGAGCACTTTATTTCCAAGAATGTAATAGTTAAGTACATAAAACCGTGCTGCAAACACACTTGACAAGATAATGTTTAAATTACCTAAAGCTTTAATATATTGTATATTTCGATAAGCAATATTCTAGGATTCTGCGATAGTGATAATAGGTTAGAACTAGTGCTTGGATATTCGGTTGTTTTTATTAAATAGAATGCAAGAGAAACTTAAAATATATTTTTGCTTCTTTTAACACCTGGGATTGCGCGACATTTTATGATACTTTATTTGAAATACAAAACATTTTGAGTCAATATAAATCTTAAAGGTCTGATTATGACCAAGAATACCGCTACTGAATGTCTGATTGTGGACAGCTGGAAGTATCAAATTTAAAATTTAAACGATGGTGCGATAGTTTTGATTAAAAATGATTAAAAACACATTTTTTTTTATGTTGTAAGTTTTTAGACATTTCACTTTCTACATATGATAAAGTTAATTTAAATGTTACATATTCGTATAATTACAAATTTAATTAAATATTATTTTTCCTTCAATTTTGTAAGTTGTAATCTCGGTGACGTGGCATTTTTTCGATACAAAAGCGCATTCTATGTTTACGAGCCACTGAATTGTAGATAAATAAGCATCGGATTATTCGACCACTAGTTTGACATAGAGAAAATAAACTGAACCAATGTACAATGCTAAATACAAAAATAAAGGAGCGCCAGTTAAGCCGCGCATTCTGATCTCACACAAAAACCTCGTCAATTGGGTAAATATTAGTAAAGTGTGTTTCATAATTGAATTATGCCAGTTAATGGATGAGTCAGCCCGAAAGAGGAAGTGAGTAACGAATTATAAATTATGAATCAAGCTGCTATCATGATAGGGGTAGCAAGCTGAACAACAGCGCGTCGCAGGTGATGCATTACTGATACGAGAATTCTACGAAACATAAGATAATTTCATAAATGAACCTCAACAAATCTACTAACTTTTTTTTACTTACAAATACGTGAATGCATATTATGTATTAACAACAATTAAAAGCGTATGTGCTATTAAATTTTTTAACAAATAATATGATACAAACTTAAAAGTTTACTACAAATAAAGCAAACACTCTAAATTCAAATCCAATTTGCGACAATAAGAAAGATTAAATGCTCGATACCAAAGCGCTACAGCGATCACAAAGTAATTAAGAAACTCTCAAAACAAAGAACTTGTGCAGCGAGCGTATCTGTTTAGGGTTCTGGAAAGTGACTCAAAGCTGTAATACTATTGGATAAGAAGGTTTGGAGTAAGGAATCATAAGCTAATAATTACACAATAACAATACAAAGCACAGATTGGCGCGAACACGCGATACATGGAGATTGGCGGTAGCGTGGAAACCAATATTGACACATCACACGTTCGTAACGTGAAGTGCGAGCTTTCAATGCAGAAGGCGCTCAGACCTTTACACAAAGCGCCGCCAAGAAACACCTAGACCTACAATGAGATCAATGATAAAGTCCGGTAGCAATACCGCGGCGGCGACGTAATGTGTCGGGTAATCGTGTACGGCATATGTATGGAATAGCTAACGGACTTTAGTGTAGCGACGCCGCCACCCGCAGTTGCCGCGGCGCCATATGTAAAGGCCCTTAAATGTGGTTTAGCAGTTTTGCTACAGTCGACGTTGTGTTAATCACATGTTAAGTCGAGGTCTCCGCGCGCAAGGCCTGCTCGGCCACATGCCAAGTGTTCTGAGAGCGATACAAGTCGACTCAAGCACGCGTGTTCTGCGATCTGTGTGTCAATAACTACCGAGTGTACGAAATACGACTTCTACGAGTACTCACACAAACTTCTGCCTGCAGCCGCATGTTTTAGACAATTCCAATTTATAAGCTATGTACAATTTGTGAAAGCCGATTTTATAATATGTTACATTGTGTTTAATGCTATGGTATTATTTTTATAGATTATTGTTATACAACAAGGCTAGGCAATGATATTTATTTTACGTTTGAGATTACAAGTTCAGTCGTATGTTATAGCTATACTGTGATATATTTGTTGTATACGTATGTTGTCCAGAAATTATGTTAATAATCCCATTTAAGCCCGCCTTAACAGACTTATCGTAAACAAAGAATAATCGATAAGAGATTATACAAACAAAAATAGATCATTGCGGAGCTTTCGTGTGCTCCCCGACTACTCCGCTGCAACAAGCAATAGGAGATGTTGTTTAAGTTCTCCACAAGAACCGATTAAAACGCGCAAGCTACGATGTGAAATAAATTGGACTCCCGTATCTGATATCGTATTGACATCGAACTAGACCGCTGATAAAAACTGTTTATTAACTTTTGATAACAAGATCGGTAATGCCTTTGTTGACACGCCACGGGCGCTCGTGACAATCTAACGATGAATATTTAAGCATCTGAAACAAGTGGGCTATTGCGGGAAAATTCAATTTTCCGCAATACCACTAAATACTTTGTGTACTTTACATTTCTGAAAAGCGATCTTTGTCACGACAGAGGGCTAACACTGAATTACGTATATACATTAACACAACCTAAAATTGATTACAACGCAATATCAAAGTACAAAGCTACATACGAACGTAAACACACACATAAACATGGAGCACATGTCCCGAGCAGGTGTATACACCGAAACCCAATACTTTTAATCGTTGATAATGGTGTAACTTCCATTATCTAAAGTATTAATGTACAGTATAGGTTATGAATGATGGTCACATAGTACCTCGCCCGGCGGCAACTAAAAATTAAAGTTTACTTCTCTGTGCTCCCTCGCTCCTATTGCCTATGTTCCGAAAAACGAGAATCATATTGAATTATTTCTAAAGCAGCAGTGAATAAGATTCAAATTATTGATACACAAATCAAAAGTATAAAACTATGATACTGGTAAGCCTTCGATAAAGCTATCTCGATTGAAAACTAATATAAAGTGTCCGGCTTCGGGCACTCGACCCGATAAAGAGCTTCATAAATATCTCGTTCCATTTGCAGGTGGTGTAAGAGCGCACCGTTGGTAACCCCACGTGGTCGAGTAACAAGGATGGTTCCTGAGTTCGGAATTGAATTTCGGAAATTTCCGATAGAAAACGCCTAGAGTAACCTCCGAGAAATACTTAATTACGTAATTTTTGAGTGAACCTCGAAGTACCTTTTTGTTCTTTGCTTTTCGTAATTAGCGTTCTAGCTACTTACAACGTCTTAAAGATAGAGAAAATAAAAGGGATCAGGTGTAGAAACCTGATACATATATACAGGGTGGAAATTTGTTATGCCACCTGGAGGGAAAGTATTCTAAATACTGGAGATAGACATTTTTACTTAAAGGAAACATTCCTTTATTTTTTAAAAGAAATAAAACTGCATTCATAGATTTTCGAAAATTTCTAGCAACACGCGGGAATCGAACCCGCTTTAATCTGAAAAAAATGCACCCTGCACTTTTATTGCATCGATCGACAGGGTTAATTACAAGAATAAAATCTCTCTCACAAAATTGGTTAATTAAATGAAAAAAAAACATGAAATCTTAATGTATTTTAATAAAACGAAAAAAATGGTAATCTAACTAATTAGTTGCTCGAAGTGAGCTCCATTTTCTTAGATACACAAATTTAATATTTTAACGAATTCATTTTGAGTAACTTTTAATAATGGTACATATACCTATACAACAATAAATTTTTTAATCGTAGGCAAAACAACTAAGTTATTTACCTACGAGATCAAAGACTGTTAACATATAGATGTTAAAAAGGCTTACCTTTGCAGTTTCGATATGAAATTAAAACTACCTACTTTACATAACCAAATAAACGCCAGCAAAACCAACCAAGTATTCATTATTTGAAAACAAAATAAAATTAAGTTTTTAAAAGTTAATTAAACTAAAGTGAAATAGACAATTAGTTTCTTCGTAAAGTCAAAATTATAAACTTGACAATTAAAGCACTTCTTCAGTTTCATTGTACATAATTATTTATGATAAATACTTAAAAAAAACTTGAAATTATTTTTAGTAACAAGTGGTATTTTTCGTGTAAATTTTTCGTATGTGCTTTCATCAGGCCGAATATTCGGATAAAATCGTGGTATTTCTTGCAACAGTAATTATTATAGATATGGCATTATGTTAATTTTATGATATTACTCGATGACGTAGTTTGTTTACTTTTCGTTTTGGTAAAATGAGATTATCTCTGAAGATATCCAGGGTGGAACTCAGCGTCCATTTTTTGAATGAGCTGCTTAATCTCTTACCAAAACGAGAAATTATTATTTAATGGCTGCATTATATTCTGTGTTTATTATTATTTGGTCCAGCAACACTGTAGTTTAGAATGTCATGAAAACACAATACAGCATCACAAATTGAAATGTTGTTCATCGCCGATGTAGGGTTTACCACGGTACGCTTTTGACCTACATGAGAAGCAAATTCAATTCAAATTGAAAACAGGGTAATAAAGAATTAATCCATTCTGCTTTAGAAATATATTATTGACAACATAAATTTCACCACATCCTGATTGTGATTTCATTGTCTTTACTCGAATAACAAGAACCTGTAAAAGGCTAAACATCCCAGAAAATTGTTTCAAAATGTTACATGTGTTTAGAAAACAAGTCATATCAATCTGTAGATATGATGTAATTCGGAATTGGCATGTGGACGTTAACTAACCTTGAAACGCTGGACATCCTCCATTGTGGCTGTCTTGCCGTCCGATACGCAAGAGTGGAAGAAAGACGGTGCCACCGACACTCCCAGCGCTTCCGATGTCATACCTGTGCCTGGAAATGTTCCCAACAATAAGTAACTGTCATTTAACAGAAAAAAAGAAAAAAACATTTATTCGGCTATTCATAATAACATTTTAAACATCACAATACTATCGATTAAAAACAAAAGTAAACAATAAAATTAAAAAATTAAAATACACATTAGTAGCCGAAACGGCTAGCCAGCTCACGTTTACGTTGGGCAGGGTCTCAGCGCTGATTTTCAGTTAGAGCCGACGTTAACAACGCTGACTAAATGTACAAACCGTGGCTACTCTTAAAAGAATAAAGAATTCTGTATATAGTCAAAACAGTGAAAGATGCTCTATTTATAGTGTACTGCAACTGTAAATAGTGTAGCTGATATTTTCATAATAAAATTTGACATAACGTGCAGAGTCTTGAACAGAAACGTGCCAGCACACAAAGCAACAAACCACGTTTCCCTCTCATTTATGACGTAACAAGCACGTTTCGGCATCCACTATGCCGAAGATTTTACGTCTTATATGGACACAATGCTGATGTGTGCTGACAAGTGCCAACCTTTTAGCAGCTCAATCTATGCATCAATCTAGCAGCTAATACCTAAGCCGAATTTGAGTGGATGATGCAATAAGAAAAATTAAAAGATACTTTGACATGCTAAATGAGTAATTTTCAGGTTAGTTTTCTCTACCAAATTTCGGTGGCAATTTTTATTATTTAAATATTCCAGAATATTATCATGAAGTATTACTTAATATTCGAGTGTAGTAAACAGAAATATTATTTAATATTTCTTGATAATATACTCTAATACTTAAATAATAAAAATTGCCATCGAAATTAGGTAGGGAAGACTAACCTGAAAATCACCCAAATATTGTGATATTATAAGTGAACAAAGAATACTGGTAAGTTCGTCATAGTGGTTAAAACGTTAATGCGTGCGGTTCACGCAATTTAACATGATTAGCAGCAGTGACCGCTTCTCAAAGGGTTCCGTTAATATAACATGCAGAAGTGGAACTTTGTGTTGCGGGCACGAGCCACCTTTCATCGGATCCCACTCGCTGCTCAAACATTGTCATTAAATGTTAATCCAGGCTTTATGAAGCCCTTATGAATATTAAACACGCTGCTATTGGTTGAGAATAGCTCTGATGAGAAAACGTTGCAACTGGCTCAACTAGGTTACTTTTACCAGAATATCCTCTGGGCTTTACATATTAGATAATATTATATTAAAAATATTATTTTTTTTAAAAATTACATACGCAATAAATTGCTAAAATTTTACACTGGATCATGTCTAACGAAGAATTAATTACTCTTTCGCGATATAAATAGGTACAAGTAAACATTTAACAAGCGTGCAGAACTAACGAGTATTTCGAGTAATTAAAAAATGACAGCATAATTACTAAAAAAAAAGTATCTTGGTTGTGGTAATTATGCGATGCTGCCGTACTGGTGAAATAACAAAACAGCCCAAAGAAACAAACGTCATTAGCAATCTCGGGAAGCCGGCTTTGTGAAGTAGCTTTTACTGTTCTATATGTATTTGGATTTGTGCAATTTAAATGATTATTATTCAAATTGATTATTTTCTTTGTCTAACTAGTGTTTGTGACAAATTGTATTTATTAAGTGTCTAATTTTCATTTGGATTTTTTAAACATAATATTTCATAAAAGGGCACCGCACGGTGATTCACGCTCCATACTAAGGCGGTCATAAATACGTAACTCCGAAATTATTATTATTTTTTTATTTTATTACGTTAAAATATGATTAGGTAAACGTAAATTAATAAAATTATACATTTTAAAAAATATTTGACAATATTTAGGTGTAAAAATGTCTCGCAGTAATTTTGTTTTTAGACGATGTATCTAAAACATTTTATACTGCGACTTTTAATGGTAAAACTGTGTAAATAATGATTATTTGTATTAACAATAACCACAAATGAATAAATTAAAACAATAAAAATACATAAAAAAGTTCATTTTACAAAATACAAACAAAACACAAATTATACCAAAATACATTAAATCTCAACAATATTAACTTTAAATACATAACAAGTCTAATACAGCTTTTGACAGTACACCTTTTTTTTTAACAGGTAACTTTCGTAGACCTGTTATGAAGGGATCTGAATGAAGAAGCAGCCTATTTACTAAATCTGTGTTGGTCACAATGCGACTCATTTTACGCGTATGATTTTTTCTAAAAGACTTGATGTATTTGTTAGTCGCTTCAGCTGCTTCTTCAGACAACTCTCCGATTGACAACAAACCGTAATCTATAACATTAGCACCATGAATTAGAACTTTGTGAACGGAAGCAGGCATGTTATACCACGGATATTCGGCAACTAACTGCCGAGCCGTCTCTAAAGCGAACTCTTCGAAGTTCGTCTTATTAATATTATATCCCGAATTTAAACATTGAAGGATGATCCAGCAACGATCTAGGAGATCCTTCTTGATCCCAGTAATTTCAGCGGAAATTTCTGAATTCGAGAAAAACCGCCTGGCTGTATTACCATCGTTTGATGTTCCGCTTCCGCCACTTTTAGGCTTATCCACTATAAGCCCTAATCTTTCTCTAAATTGAGTCTGAACATATGATTTTTTTGCAGCAACAAGCATTTTGTCATTAGCGGACCTAGCTTGCCATTTCCTAACATCTAACTTGTACGCGACATGAACAAAATATTCAAAAAAACGTATTAATGCGTGAAGAGGTGATAAACCAAATTCATATTTACTCTCATCGACTTCCTTATTTAAACATTCGTCAATTTTGTTCATTTCACTGGGCAAGGCGTTACAAATAAAACATTTTGATGAAGAAACACCACTAAGTGCATTACACACTTTACCATCTACCATAGTAAGTTGCAAACAATGAGTAATGCGATATTCGCGATCTTCTTCCTTGAAAACAGTAGGCTGCAAGTTCCTTATTTTATCTTTAAAATGAGCTTCTTCCTCAACTGACACTGCAGTCGATTCCTTCAAATATCGGAGGCGTATAGGACGACAGTATCGAGTTGATGAAGGACGAGGATTTTTCCACAAAACTACTGAATTTTCTTTGTTATCTGTTGTCAAAACAAGCTGAAGTGGCACATACGAAGTAACAAACAGGCTACTGTCTTCAAGAGTGGAGTCAGAAAAACACTGTTTATATTCTGAATGCCCTGTACTGCCATCGAAACCCCATTTCCCTATCAAAGATATCTTATCTAGAGACTCATTAGGTACACTATCCAAAACATCTTTTTGAGACTTGAGAATCCGATTGGCAGTATGATCTAATAAACTTTGAAGTTCGACTTCGGCGGATGATTCTGTAACAGTAATATCTGAAGGATAACAGTGTTTTTTAGATTCCACGACACTTTGGTAAGATGGGAAAATGGTTTTTGAAAACTTATTGTCTATAAATTTCTTTACTAATATATATTGATGTCGAGTTAACTGAGCTTCAACAATGAGCGATAAAACTTCGCTAGAATCGATTTCAGGACAAGACAAGCTATCGGACGCATTGAGCAATGACTGTACAAGAGAAGGGTCTTGGTTAGACAAACTAGCCAATCTTCTCCTTTTTGTACGTTTACTGGTGTCGTCAAAGTTAATTCTCGGACGGCCATGCGATGAAGAAGTTGATGGTTTAACTTCGTCAAAGCTCTGAGATACACGTAACTCAGTTCGCTGTACATCAATATTTTCAACGACATGCAGCCAATCTGAATATTTTTCTAAGAATTTAGATCTAGTACGATTCGACTTTGCCCAGTAGTGGGAAATTCGTTTACAAATATTCTTAATTTTAAGGCTTAAAGTCTCTAAATCAATATTTTCGATGTCGTCAGAAAGGGATGATGTTTCGGTCAAAGTGCTCAGGACGTGTTGCATTTTTTCATTTGGATTACCCACTTTAGAGTGCCAAATATCAAAAATTGTCATCCTCGATACAGAACATTTGAAAAATGTACCTAAAACAATATGAAAGCTGAACTTAAAAAAAAATTAAAAATTCAATACTATGGACATGCATACTTTGACACCCCTTTAAGCCAAGAAGAGGCAGCAAGATGCAAATGAAACTTATAGCTCTTAATAAGGACATACTCCTTATTCAAAAACCATATACCTCAGGTGCAGCTCAGCGCAGCCAAAAGTTGTAGGTCTAAAGGAAATTAAGTTATGCCAAAAATTTTCACCAAAAAACTGCCTTCAATAAAAAAATTATATAAAAAAAAGTATGCATAAAAAAAATTAAAAAAAAATTGATAATAAAAGTACATACCATGCTCTTGGATCTCCATGCTTTCACAACACGTAAACACTTGATTTGGAATAGTGACACTCAAAAACAAAGTGATTAAGTTTCGATGACTCACACGTGGTGATAATTAGTCTCGCGATGCGCTCACTTCCGATGCACAAAAGTGAATGATAACGTGACCTAATTACATTGATATTTATAGTTTTTGGAAGCTTGTTAACTAGTTACTAACTTAGTGAGTTGATCTAACCGGGATAAGCCAATGATTTTTTTTGATTTATGGCCTATGGGGGAATCACAGTGCACCGGCACTAAGTAAAAAGAAGAGGAATATATTATATCTTTTGATTGTGGTTACAATTTATGATGGGCCATGGTGGAATAACGCGACACTTATCTAATTAACATAGTCAAGGGCCCTTTTGACGTGCTTTTTTTATTTTAACTTGATATTTTCTTCTTCTTCGTTTAATGTTTGAAATTTACGTTATTTTGCATGTTTAAACAAAGCCGTTTTTATTTTAATTTAAAGTCGAATCGAGCAGCAGCGTTGTGCACTGCTCATGTTAATTTTTTTTAATATCATATCTAGTAACGGAACCAACAAGTCGTGCAGTTACAGTGCCACTCAGAGCTTTAAATCGCAATGATCTGTGTGGCACTGCCACTGCGCCCGTCACCCTGTGATATAAGTTGACAAGTCCCATGTGCCTGTAATTTCACCACCACCCTTACCTTCAAAACCGGAGCACAGTAATGCTGACATTACTGCTTGGCGGCAGAAATATGTAAGGTGGCAGTACTACCCTGGACGAATTCTTTCCCAATTTTATGACAGTGACTGTTACGACGTGTGTATGACGCGTGTCCTGTAGGCGACCGCCCAGTATGCAACAATGACGTATAGAACACATTATACAATAGCTACAAGCTCAGTTCGTATGCCATAAACGCAACAATCGCACGTTCACGGCTAACATGCTATGAAGCAAATGTTTAGACTCCGCTACGCCGAAAGCGAAGCCGAGCACAAAAGAGAGCTTCATACATTATGATTTGAAAGTGTCATACGATAGGATTTTTCTCAACAAGTCAATTCGACACTGCGTAGGGTTTGGAGTTAGGTGAATTGAATGCAAATGGCGCACAGGTCAAACGGCAAACACATAGTTTTGTTTATAATGATTACTTTGTTTTTTTTTATAAATCGTTCTGGGATTTGCTCTGGAAAGCTTTATTCTTTATTACAAATTAAGTAAGTTCATATTTTGAAATTATAGTTTTTGAAGAATATTGTAACGCTTGCGGTCGTAAAGCAGGTCAAACGCTAATTCACAGCCGTAAACAAGAGACGCCAAAGAAAGACCGAATGGTAACACAACGTGAAAAAAAACCATCTTCGGGTTGCATCATTACACTAAGCGTGCGCGCCTACGCGGTATACTCGCATGTAATTGGCAAAATTAGAGTAATTATTTTAGGTTGAATAGTGCACTGCAGCGTCGATTGTCTTAACATTTCAACATCATTCTTGCCATTGTGATTTTAGTATTCATTGAGAATGATACGATTTGAAAATTTTTATGAAATTTTTTTTTATATTATTACTTTATTTGCAATCTGCCGCCAGGCCATGCGAATCTTTTGAACGAGAGAAGACGTTTTTGGTGGAGCGGCCAGTGCCGCACCTCCCAACTCTAATGCCTCATGGCCTCGCTTAAGCCGTTTGACAATAGTTGATGGATCTAGAAGTTCCGCGATGAGTGGGTTCGGGTGGCAGGATAGTCGCTCTTTGTGTTAGTTTTATGTCGGTCGACCTCAGCAGCTACCGATATGACGTTTAGATGATCACGGATCTCTTCATTACGAGTGAACCAAGGGGCATTGACTATTGCCCTCAGGATACAATTCTGCACTCGTTGAAGACAAAGTACATTACTCTTGCTAGCCACACCCCACAGCTGAATACCGAATGTCCAAATGGGTTTTAAGACCGAGTTGTAGATTAGAAGTTTGTTGTCTACTGATAATGCTGAATTTCTTCCCATGAGCCAATGAAGTTTACGATATTTGGTAATGTTTCATTACCAAGCCTTACTGGATTACAGTTTCCTTTTTTCAGTGTAAATGTGATATGATGAGATTTGGTAGCACTGGTATTATTATTATTATTATTATTAAACTAGTTGATTGATACATTGCTGATACTCTTGAGCTCTTTGCGTGCCTCATTGTATCTATGTTTGTCCAGCGCATGACACGACTGATGCCAGACTCGTCTTAGACGGCGCTTTTCCAGGATCGTTCCACGAATATTCGATGGTAGGGTGGGAATGCGTGGAGTTGAATCCTGTTCCGGTGTGTTAGCCCAACCTGCCACTTGGATAAGGTTCGTGACATTTATGCATGCTCCATCTATTTCATCGGAATCCTTAAGAGGGATTGGTAATTTTATATTTTGATTTATGTACCTTCTAAAACCCTCCCAATCAGTCCTATGGTTTACAAGTGATTCTGCCTTTTCATGAGTAATCACACTCGCATTCACTGTCAGAATTACTGGTGTATGAACTGAGGATCCATCCAAGCTCGATTCGATTTTCATCTTCATATGGGCCCCTGACTCAGGAAGAGTCCAGAAGGTTGGGCAGCTGTCTAGGGTCGCTTGGCCAATATGTTGGTTCTCCAGTCGATAAAGACTCCAGGTGGATGATGTCGGCACAGCGCTTTAGTTCGCATCCACGAGTACTAGTACAGCAAGAGCCCCAAAAAGTGTGTTTGGCATTCCAATCACCGCCCGCAATGTATGTTAGACCAAGGGTCTGAAAATAGGCGGAGAACATTTCTGCTGTGATTTTGTACCTTGGCGGACAGTATACAGAAGAAAGCGTGATGAACCCATACGACCTTCAATTGTAACCGTGGTCGCTTGAATATGCGTGGAAGAAAACGGCTCCATAGCTGAGTGTTTAATGCTTTTTCGAAGTACCAAAGCAGTTCCGGCGTGAGCTCCACCATCAGGATGGGGGTGTGGTAGATGTTGAAGCCTTTGATGCGAGGACTGCTCCTTATGGTGACATGGTCCTCTGATATTAGCACTACGTCTAGTTGGTTTGTTTTTATGAATGAGTCTAACTCGTTGATATTAGGAGCTAACCCGTTGATGTTCCAGGTTGCGACTCTTAGGGATGCCATGTATGGAGCCAGTTTGGTTATGACTGTAGTCAACAGTCCCACAAGGGTACTGATTTGTTGTAATTATGTATCTAGCTTTTCATTTTGCTTTATTAGTAGCTGTTCTAAAGTAGTGTTGTCGCTCCTGTCAATAACTTCATCAGTTGGAAGAGGAATTCTGTAACGATCTGCTGTTACATCTGAGTATGTTACTTGTATTTGTTCTGATAACCTAATGGAGTTGATTTGTGAACTTCTGGGACACTCGTTATGGACTGCGTATTAGACTTACCATCGGAAACTCTGGTAGAAATCTTTTTGGAGTTCGTTTTCCTTTCAAGTATTTCTTTGTATACTTGACAGCGTTTGGAGTTTGCAGGATGATCGCAGGAGCAGAGAGCACATTTGGCAGGAGAGTTTCTATTTTTTTTTCGGACACTCAACAGTTTTGTGTCCCTCACCACATTTTCTCACTCACACATCGCCATCGAACCGACCGCCAAAGTGTGCGGGCGACGACGGCTGCCAAGCGCGCAGGTCATCGCGTCCTGCGCGGTTCTACTAGTGCCCTGCCGCGGCACAGCTACTAATTTTACATACTTAACTGTTACATTCTACAGATGCCGCGGTCCCGGCAGACGCGGGTGAAAACCGCCCCGTGAATTCTTAGTGTAACGAAAAATGAGTTTCAGCGCCATCTAACTTGTAATAGTTAGCTATTATATACTAGTAATATTTTTACTAAAACGCCACCTATTGGTGAATGGCTGAACCAGGATGAAAATAATACTGAAATATTGTAATATAACTCTTATTCAAGTGACTGTAAGTTTAATTTTGTTAAATTTTAAAATTGTTTTACGTCGTTTTCACGTTTTAAGCTCTACCCAACCAAAATCTTTAAGTTATGGCAGTAGATAATAGAGCGTAAAGTTTGAATTGCACACAAGCTAAAAAGTGGGGACATCGGCACCCGATCTTAGCGTCATTTACATATCTTTTTTTCTATATCTATGGTAGCACACCTAAACTAGTACATCCAGCACGATACGCCATCGATAAGTTAATGAAGTTTGTATACCTGGATTAGTACCTGATTTGTCAGCGTTGGAGGCCATTACCCGGAAGGTGCCGAAGAGAAGTACCAGAAACCGCTGCGTGCATACCGGCAGAGACATCAGCAATCTGGGAAATGGATCCTTGGTTTACATAGCATACAACATATAGTCAGTTACTTATGATTAACTAACGTATTACATAAAAAAAATAAAATTAAAAAACTCCGGTGCAAAACAATATAACTACAATATACTTCAAAGTTCGTGGAATTACATCTATTTGCCAGGTTTTATCGAAATCGGTAACCGGAAAGTGCGCGAAACCGGATTCATTTCCTAGTTTGCCACCTTTAGAGGAGGAATACTTTCTTCAAATTTAAATGGGATCAAAACCGAGGTACTCTCTTTCCAACAAAAAAAAATCATCAAAATCGGTTCAATCGCGGAGTAATTGCGTAACATACATACAAAAAAAAACATACAGTCGAATTGAGAACCTCCTCCTTTTTTTGAATTCGGTTACGAAATTTAATAAAGTCATCTGTAATCAATAAACTATAGTTGAGTTGTCTGCAGACTGTCCTGAATGCAGCATCAAATCAAAGTTACCATATTATTAAATTGTCATCAGATTTCCATAGTTTCATATTTCAAGTCGATCGGACAAAAAGTAAATAAATATTCATTTTATGACTGAGATCTCTACAATAACTGGGAAAATAGCTGACGATCTTTAAACAGCTGAACCGATTTTCATCAAACATAACCAAGAACCACCCCAATTAAATTAGCTTTGGAAAAAAAATGCTCCAAGATTAGTCTAGCCCGGGGTTCCTTAACCTGTGGTCCATGAACCCCCGAGGGGTCCGTGTTATGAACACCGGGGGTCCATGACAGCCTACCTAACATGTTGTATTAATATAAAAATTGGTATACAATATGTTGTGAGTGCATGTGACCTTTTTAAATTTTCGCGCCCTTCAAGACGTGCGTCTATGCAACCCGAGAACCTTTTTTACTTTATTTATTATTTTTATTAAAAATTGAATAATAAGAATACTTATTAATCTAAACCTGGTGGCACAACAAAAATGTGTCTTGTCTTATTCGTGCACCGCAAGAAATTCTTTACGTTTTCGGAAAGGCTTAAGGCTTTTTGAAATTTTGAGAGAGGTCCATAACTAGAAAAAGGTTAAGAAATTCTGGTCTAGCCGTTTGGGAGCAACGATGCCGAAGGCTTCAAACTTAATAACCCCCCTTTTTGCGTCGGGGATTAAAAAGTAAAGCGTACACGAAGTGTTAAATATATCATGTCCAATCTGTGCTCAGGAAAGAGTGAAACGTGGGTTTCACGAAAGGAGCCTCCCCGCACGACGTACGATTCCATTAGTCAAATAGCAAATTCCTGTGGTCATCGTGCGTTTTGGTCAGTATACGTATTGGCATTTCGTACTAGTCAGTTTGCATTTCAATGTTCATTTAGCGCATAGTTTCCCAAAGTGGTCCTTGCCAATGAGCGCTGAACAGTCCTGGGAGGGCCTCGGAAGCAATTAGGGGGCGGTGGGGACACGGAAGCAATTAGGGGGCTTTGATGCTGTCCAGAAGGTGCCACCGCAATTGAAAATAATACTTAATCATCTATATAAATTACATTACAATAGTAGTTTATGTGACTGTTACACAGGCGAGTTTCATAAAAACACCTCACGAGCGTTTTAATGCCTAATTACGTACAGTTACATACACTACTTTATCTAAACACATAATTATTAAAAGCTCTCTGTGATATGTTCAGGAACCGCAAGTTACGACTGGCGAAATGGCGGCAAATAAAAACTTTTCTCACGCATCTGTAGTTTTTATTTTTAATTCATAGGTAAACTAAAATCGGCCCCAACTATCATATCGTTCGATATCAAGTAACGTGTGAAGTTGTGAAACTTATTTGCTATTGATATTTCATTTCGAATAAAACTTCATCTCGACTGATATTAGAATTGAGGTCCAATCAAATTGTTTTGTTTTTCAGACATGTTCGAAATTTGAGTGTAATAATAACATCGAATTAAGAAACAATAACATTGTCACAGATAAGAAATTTGTTCTAACAAAACAGTATACCTTTACGCTGGTAGTAATTTGCGGTTTTTGAACACATTATAGAGAGTTTATGATATGTGTGTAAATAAATATATATTTTTTGTGATTTTTGTGTTAAGTTAATATAAAAAAATATGTGTTTTCAATATTTTATTGTTGTGGTGGGCGTCAAACTTTTTTTATCTTGAGCCAAAAAGTTAGGGAACCTATGATTATCGTATTGGTCAATAGTCTATTGCACTCTGGACAAAAATCGGCGAGTACCTTACGCCGATTGGCATACCCTTTCACCACAATGGTAAGCATTGCAGTGTATTCCATGGATAACATAAGAAGAAGAAAGGAAAGAGTAATGGGAATTTTCTTCCCAAGCAATTTTACACTACAGTATTTAGTCGCATAATGTGACAGTTCTGAGAAGTAAATTATTATAAATGGTATTATAGATTACTGTTTTGTATCACTTTGCTATGTTTATTGTATCTAATATTTGGAATGAAGAGCTTGAATCCAACAAGGTCTTGAAAAAAATTTAAAAAAATACACTGAGAATAATTGACTGTGAATTAACAAGCTAATATAACAAACAAACAATATTACTACTAATTTAAATCTGCGTGTAGTGAATTTCAAAAAACAAGTTCAACTGCCTCCGTGGCCGAACGGTTACCATGCCGGACTGCCATGCAGAGGTCCTGGGTTCGATTCCCAGGCCGGGAGAAATATGTGTATGGCCTACATTTATTTCTCTTGTGAGTTTGGATGTAATTTGTGGTTGTCTATGTGTGTGTCCATGGCACCCGCGACACAGGGTTTCCCTAGTGCGGGGCTATGTTGAGTGTGAGCGTTATTATTATTATTATTATTATTAATTTCATTATATTTAATATTAGTTTTTGTGCGCGTATTTTATATATCTGCTTGTCCACAACAGCACGAGCATATGCTCTACACAGTGCGTGCTGATCTTGCTTCCCTGGCACACAGTAAATGTTAAGGTTTGTATATTGCAAATGTTATAATTTTTATGTCATTGAATAAGTTACGTTTAATATTTTGTGTGGTGAATAAATGGTTTAAACGGTTTAAACTCCTCCATGGCCGAAGCACGGTAAAAGGTTACCGTGCTGCTTTGCGACAAAGAGGTCCCGCGGGTTTGATTCCTGAGCCGGAACAAATATTTGTATAGCCTGCATTTATTTCTCTAAGTTTTTGTTTGATTTGTGGTTGCTTATGTGCGTGCTCGTGGCACTCGCAATACAGGGTTTCCCAGGTGCGGGGCTATGAGACAGTGTGTGCATTATTTATTTATGAATGTTTAGAGTATTTTTATATTGGACTATCGTGGATTTGAATGCGTTTGTTATCCGTAAATAGTTTTAATGCGAGTGAATAAAAGCACATTGTGTATGCGACAACAGAAATTCAAATAAGATGTAGTGACGACTTAACAAGGTATAGTTTATTCAAAATCCTGTATGCGCCTAAAAGTGTGCGAATGTACTAAGAAATGTTTTAAATATAAATAGTCAACAACGCAAGCAGAAACGGGGAGCGAAGCGGAGCTCTCAAAATCGATTTTAATAATGCAATCGCAGATAGTTAAACCCGGGCTGAGTTGAGACTGTATACTATAGATACATATATACTGGCAAACGCTGAGTAGAAACCGTCGTGGATCTTAATATTTATCTATTAAGCATCAAAATGAACATTCTTTTCTTTCTTTCTTATATTGATGTGCTAGTATTGGTATATTGTTTAAGCCAATTTTCAAAGACGCTAAAATATAGTTTATTTTTCTTATATCAAACGTTTTTTTCGTGGTTTTTGTATTAGACCCGATGTCCATTTGTTGGTAGGTCAATGTGTGCCCCTCAAACCTTTGCGATTAAAAATGGATTCAAAGCTCTGAATGGCACAGCTACTGTAATGGAAAGGCGTGTCGCTTACTATAACTTTTTTTTTTAACTGCCTCCGTGGCCGAACGGTTACCATGCCGGACTGCCACGCAGAGGTCCCAGGTTCGATTCCCGGGCCGGGAGAAATAGTTGTATGGGCTACAATTATTTCTCTAGCGAGTTTGGGTGTAATTTGTGGTTGTCTATGTGTGTGTCCATGGCACCCGCGACACAGGGTTTCCCTAGTGCGGGGCTATGTTGAGTGTGTGCGTTATAAGGCGCACGACTTGTTCGTCCCGTCACTTGGTAATTCGTTTCCTCTTATAACATGTGCGTGGATGTGTTCTTTGGTAAAATTGTGAAATTTTAACTCGAAATCTATTCCACGATAAGGATGTTGAAACTATTTGTTGAATTTAAAGTCCATGATGATGTTGCCCTGAGGGAATGACCACACCTATTAACACAGAATCGGTTTACTGTCGCCATACTTTCTCAAACTCACATCTTAAAGCACTAAGTTACTCAAAAAACTGATTGTATATAAAAATTTTGCAGGCGGATTTCACATCACATTTCCTTTATATTTACACACTGGCTTTTACCTATTCTTAAAGTAACGCATCGAAATTAACACCCTTGATAAGAAATTTAAAATAAATAGAAAGTTTTGCATCTCCTGAATAATCACTCTTTAAAAGATAACGAGTTTGAGAAAGTAAAGCGTCGTTATGTCGGTCAGTAAAAACTTAAAGGTGCCTACATTTCCTCGATATTTTGACGATCGACAAGTGTGATCAAATAAAATCAAGAGAAAAATGTGAACTACAGACGATCGACAACGTATTTTTTGACAGACACTATGTTCAGCAGCAATTGACCGTTGACGACATATTTTTACGACACCAAGTGGTGAGACGAACAAATCGTATGCCTGGTGTAAAGCAACAAGCCTGTCTAAAGCAGGCGCAGTGCCACTCACTTTTAGATCGCAAAGATCTGAAAGGTACAGCCTCTGCGCCCTTCACTCGGAGATATAAGTTGACAAGTCTCAAGTGCCTGCAATTTCACCAGCACCATTTACACTTCAAAACAGAACACAGTAATGCTTATAGTACCTACTGCG